GTCCATAGAAAGGTAGGGGCAGGAGGTTTGTTGCAGTTGAATGTCATCCAAGCCTGCATAGTTAGGACTCCCTCAGGCGGTGGTTCACACCTTTAATCCCAGCACCTGGGAGCAGAGCCATGAGGATCTCTGAGTTCGAGGCCAGCCTGGGCTGTACAGAGTGAGATCCAGGACAGGCACCAAAACTACACAGAGAAACTCTGGAGAAAAAAAGACTCCCTCATTAAAAACACTGAAAAGAGGACTGGGAAAATGGTTCAGCCAGTAAGAGTACTTGCTGAACAAGTGTGAGGACCTAGGTTCCTATTTCCATCACCCAGGGGCTGGAGAGGTGCAATTGATGTGTGTATGTAGTGCGTATGCATGGATAATTGTGGGAGGGGGACGGACTGAAGCTGAAGCCTGAGCAGAGTCTTCCTACATAACCATATTATTCATTGAAGTGTGGTCTTGAATGGTTCAGAGAATGTAGACCAGGCTGTCCTGGAACTTGTAGTGATCCTCTACCTCAGACTCAAAAGTGCTATGACTACAGTGTAAGCCACCACACCTGGCTCAAGGAAGAGCTGGGATTTTCCTCTCCTGTTGCATCTCCAGAACAATTCCCAGCACTACCTTCCAGTAAACATTTAATAATGTTCAAGCTCTGATGTGCTTTGGCTATAGGGCATGATTACATGAGATGCTTTTGATGGCTAGGGTTGGGCCTGAGGTCTGCTGTGAGTCTCATTACTCTGTAGCACATCTTCAGTCAAATTCACCTATGCCCCATGTTAAGCCTATCGAAAAGTATATTGGGGTGGTGGTTGAAAAATAGTTAGCAGGTCTGGGAGATGGGCCAGCAGTTAGCAGCACTTACTAGCTGGGCAAGGTAGAGCATGCCCTCAATCACAGTTCTTAGGAGGCAGAGCTAGGCAGTTCTCTTGAGTTGGGGGCCAGTGTGGCCTATATAGTTTCAGGACAGCCAGGGCTATATAGAGACCTGTCTCAAAAAACAAAAACTAAAAGCACTTAACTGCTCTTGGAGAGGACTTGATAGTTCCCAGCAACCATGTGGAGGCTCACAACCCTCTATAACTCTAGTAAAGGGGATCCATCTGACTTCTGTAGGCACAATAGTCATATATATATGAACCTTTAACTGTGAGAGAGAGAACTGTTTATCTCGGCAAAGCATCGCCAAGCCAGTATTTATTTATATGTAAAGTACCTTTGATGTATGTGTGAGTTCTTTGGTTTAGGACTGTTAGTTACAGTTTGGCCAGATCTTTAACTGGAAAACACTATAGCTTCCCCTTGAGCTGACTCAGCCTCTTTCTTAGCTCACCTAATACTGGAGAGAAACCTACTTTGCTGTTTTTGAGTAATTTCTAGATGAGGCTATTATGTGGCTAGATGGTAGCACTTTTTAAAAGATTTTGTGTGAGTTTGCTAGATGTGTGAGGGTTCCTGAGGAGGCCAGAAGAGTGTCCAGTCCTTTGGAGTTGGTAGGTGCTGAGAACTGAACACAGGTCGTTCTGATGTTTCGGTTTTGCTTTAAGGTCTTCTTGAAGAGCAAATACCTTTTAGTGCTGGGCCATTTCTCTGCCCCTCATCCTATTTTCCCTCACTTATTTCAAGTAGAAATTCAGATATTAACAATAGCTTATCACATTTATATGTAGAGAGACTTGATTTGTATATTAGTAGATTCTAGATACTACTATGAGAGTTTGGCAGGTTTGGGACCAACTGCAGAGTGAGACCTTAACATTAAGATGAGGTAAAATACTACACTGAATCCTGGTGTACGTGTTATTTGGAATTACTAGTGGAAGAGAACCAATTCAGTGTGTGTGTCACAAGGAGATTGATTTTGGCTTGCCTACATGATGCTATGTCAGCTGAATAGTTCAACAATGACTGACTACCCAGAAAAATCCAGAACCTAGTAGTTGCTTTTAGTCACTTCCAGTCTGGTGCTGAAAACCTGGAGGAGACCCAAAGAGCTGCTGCTCGTCTTCGGTCCTCTTGGGAAGCATGAAGCAGTGACGGCAGCGGGGCAGATGAACTTGCCATGGAAGGTGCAGTCCACGATTATTTAGGATGTGTCTTCCCACTTCAAATAATTCACAGGAATGCCTCTTTTAGTTGATTTAGAATCCAAGATTATTTGGGGTCTATTTATCTGTCACTTTTTTGTCCCCAACGGACTACTTTATTTTCAATTTAAACATTGTTTAGTAAACATAGAAAGTCTAGGTGCCTATGGTAACGTGCAGTTTACTAAAGTTTTCTAAAGGTAAGCAAAGGACACTTGGGTAATAATGGTGAGCTGCAGCTATTAGTCTTCACTGAACAAGCAAGTTTGTTACAATTTTTATTATTGGTGGGTGGGCTCATGTATGTGTGTGGGCATGCATGTGGAGGGATGTGTCTCGGAGTCCTGTTTTCCATCTTTATGTCAGTTCTGGGAATTGAAATCAGGTTGCCAGGCTTGTGTAGCAAATACCTTTTACTTGGCTGCTGAGCCATCTCACCAGGGCAAGGTAGACTTTGTTTTCTTTTATTTATTGTTTGGTTGGTTGGGTTTTCAGGGTGGAGTTTTGCTGTGTAGCCCTAGCTGTCCTGGAACTGACTCTGTAGACTAGCCTGGCCTCTTGCCTGCCTCTACTTCCTGAGTGCTGGGATTAAAGGTGTGTGCCACCAGGCATGGCAAACAGCTCAGACTGGACTGCTCCAAAGGGAAAAAGCACTCCATACAGAAATGAACTCATCTTACTTAAAATACTTGCAGTGCTTGGGTTCAAACCTAGGGGCTTGCCTGTACTAGGCAAATGCTCTAACACTGAACTATACTACTAACTCATGCCATTTCGGGGGAAAGTAGTTGAGAAAGGGTCCTACTCCAAAGCCTGGCTTTACCTGAACTTCAATAGTTTTGCTACATCTGCATGCCAAGTGCTGGGATTATAGACATAAACCACCAAGCTCAGCTAGTTTTAATTAAATTTTTCTTCATTGCTGAAAATTTCTAGCGTATTAGCAACAGTGGCCTCTAAGATCTACCCTGCTAAGGACAGGTTTGGTGGACTTCTTTGGCCCTTTTCCAAGTCTCTGAATAAAGTGTTTGGCCAACCACCACCACCCCATTTTTTTCCGTTGTAGAAAAATTCTAGACTGTGCTTGGTGGTGTGTGCCTTTAATCCCCACAGAGGCAGGCAGATCTCAGTGAGTTCGAGGACAGCCTAGGCTATGGTTTCCAGCATCTGTATCTGGTGATTGACAACTGCTTGTAATTCCAGTTTTTCTGACCTCTATGGGTACTTGTACACAGGTGCAAATAAATAACACTAAGCTAGACCTGGTGGCTTGTGTCTATAATCCAGCATTTAGCAGGCAGAGCCAGGAGGATCACAAGTTAGAGGCCTGTCTGTTCTACATAGTGACTTCTGCATTAGCCAGGGGGCTGTGTAGAGAAACCCTGTCTCAATTACTGCCTCCTGCAAGTAATTCTCTGGCTTTACAGGCACATTGGTGTGTACACACACAAAGAGGAATGTTACTAATAGCAAGTGATTGTTAATATTCATATTATTTTACAAGGGATAAAGGGCATTTGAAATCTCTCAAAAGTGCCAGGTAGTAGAGGTGGCTTACCTTTAATCCCAACACACTCAGGAGGCAGAGGCAAGCGGATCTCTTAAGTTCCAGGACAGCCAGGGCTACATAGAAAAACTCTGTCTCGAAAAAGAAAACAAGAATGAAATCTCTTAAATTGAATGTGAATGGTGTACACCTGTAATTCCATCATTCAAGAGGCAGGGACAACTATTACTGCAGGCCAACCTGCACTTAAACAGCAAGACCACTACCAAAACAACCCAAAACCCCAAGGGTAGGAGGTATAGTTAATAAAGAAAAACTCAATAGGTGTTGCAGTAAGAGGTAGCTTTTATTCTGGTGGGCTTATTGTCATTTCAAATTAGGAAGCCACCATGTGTCCTTTTTTAACTTACTAGTCACTATGTGTGCATGTACCAATGCACATGTTCAAGTCAAGACAACTCGTAGTTCTAACACCAAGTGGGTCCCGGGGAGCCACCTCAAGTGGTGTAACTTGGCTTTTGTATCTTTGTATGAGTGTTTTGCCTACTGATCTTGGATCCTTTGGAACTGAGGTTACAGGTGGTTGTGAGCTGCCATGTAGGTGCTAGGAATTGAACTCAGATCCTCCACAACAGTAGCCAGTGCTCTTAGCTGCTGAGCCATCTCTCCAGCCCTTGCTCTTGTTCTGTGAAACAACAATGTAATATGTAGTCCAAGCTGGTCTAAAATTCCCAGTCCTCTTACCTTAAATCTCCTGAGTTCTGGAATGAAAAAACAACATACCATAACACTTCTGTACTTTTCAGTTGTTATTTTGTTCCAGGGTTTAGTACATAAAACTCTGACCTTGTAAATGCTAGGCTAAAATTATGCCGCTGACTGCATCCCTGTTAACTTCTAAATTTCTAATGTTGAAATCAGGGTTATAAAATACTACTACATTTATCTGAAAGTGGCTTATAATTAAATCTGTACATCTTAGTTTTAGTGATAATGGTTTAAAGGATCATCACCTAGTGATTGACAGGAAATTAAACATTAGATTTTGGCTTTTAAAATCCCTGTTAACACTGCTGAGCGTCTGTGAAGGAAAAGGTAGTTGGTTTTTAAAGACTATTTTCTGTCCTACAGTGATACTAGAAAGATACATGGCATTGTTGGGTAGGCAAGGAAAGGTGAGGTGTTTGAGGCCAACATGGGCTATTGTGAAACCCTTCCTTATTCCCCCACCTCCCAAAATTAAATCCCTATTAAAGTTTATGTCCTCCTGAAATTAGTTTGTTGGAGCCCTTGAAATGTAGGGTAAATATAAAATAAAACTTTAAAATGTGATGGAGTAGAGAAATAAGTAAGTAATGTAAAATCATAAGTACTCAATTCCTGCTTGAATTTGTCATTTTCTCTGTTTATAGGCAGCCTGCTTCTGCAAAGTGGTACGATCGAAGGGACTATGTATTCATTGAATTTTGTGTTGAAGACAGTAAAGATGTTAATGTAAATTTTGAAAAATCCAAACTTACTTTCAGGTAATTTGCCTTTTGTCTTGGGGGGAGGGTGACTGTTGCTGTGATGAAACACCATGACCTGAAGCAGCTTGTGGGGGAAGGGTTTATTGGGCTTAGACATCTACTGTTCATCATCAAAGGAAGTCAGGGCAGGAACCTGGAGGCAAGGGCTGATACAGAGGCCATGGAGGAGCGTTGTTTACTGACTTGCTTCACGTGGCCTTTTCAGCCTGCTTTCTTATGGAACCTAGGACCACCAGCCCAGGGATGGAACCACCCACAATGGACTGGACCCTCCCCCATCAATCACTAATTGAGAAAATGCCTTACAGACTGGCCTACAGCCCAGTCTTAGGGAGGCATTTTCTCATTTGAGGCTCCCTTCTCTCAGATGACTCTAGTTTGTGTCAAATTAACAAAACTAGTCACTACACCTTTTTACGTCAGTGTTACCCAAAGCTTACTTCAGATAACTGAGTGTCTACGCTTTTTTTCTTTGCTGATCTATTGTTCACAGAGGCTGATGTGAATCTCTCTCTTTTTTAGTTGTCTTGGAGGAAGTGATAATTTTAAGCATTTAAATGAAATTGATCTTTTTCACTGTATTGATCCAAATGTAAGTAGTATTAATGCTTTATTCCGATTTAAATTATGAGGAAATAAGAATGCTGATAGTAAATGTTAAGTCTATAACAATTTATAGAGACTGCTTTTTTTGTTGTTGTTGTTGTTGAATGCTAGCCATGAATGTACTTGCCTTTAATGAACGAGACTGCTATATTTTGCAACCTTCTTTCTGCATGTTTTTTATTCTGTCACTGGACAGATGACATCACCTTTGAAGCCTGTCTTTAGATCTGAAATTTTTAGTAGCTGAGAGCCTGAGGAAAAAACCAGATAGGTTTTTTTGTGCCTATAAGGTGAATTTTCAGGAAGTTGAGGTGCAGGACAGCTTTGCCTACATAGAAAAAGCATCTCAGAAAAGCCGAAGGAAAGAAGCCAAGCTTAGTGTAGAGGGTCACATAAAAACTGTTAGCACTCAGATAGAGAGTTGAGGACAAGTGAGGCTGCACCGTGACAGCCAGTTACGGAAATGCAGCTCTGAGAGAGTACTCCCAGTGTGTTTTCAGATCCTAGGTTTGACCTCTAACAATACAATAAAAAAAAAGGTTAAAGAGCAATCAGAAAAGGGAGAAGTAGAAAGGAACAGGCTATTCTTTACCGTGATAGTAGAGAGGTGAAATGGTGTGACGATTCTCCTGTTTCAGGATTCCAAGCATAAAAGAACGGACAGATCGATTTTATGTTGTTTGCGGAAAGGAGAATCAGGCCAGTCGTGGCCTAGGTTAACAAAGGAGAGGGCAAAGGTGGGTGCTCATTTTCTGTGCTTGAGAAGTAAAAAAATGTTTTTATAATAAGATTTTGTTGTTTTTTGGTTTTTGAGACAGGGTTTCTCTGTGTGGTCTTCATAGTAGTGTAAAAGCTGGTGTTCTGTGCCTGGCACTCTCATCAAATGTCATGAAATAAGTCCCTAGTTGATAACAATCCTTTACATTCGAGAGACACAGGCTTTTGCACCAGGCATGGTGGCACATTTGAGGCTAAGACAGAAAGATTGTGACATTGAGACTCGCTTGCCTGGGTGTCTTAGAGTTACTTACTGTTGCTGTGATAAAACACCAGAGGAAGCAACTTGGAGAAGAAAGGATTATTTGGTGTACACTTCCACATCAATAGTCCCATCACTGAAGGAAGTCAGAATGGGAACTCAGAGCAGGAACCTGGAGGCAGGAGCTGATGCAGAGGCCATGGAGGGTGCTCTTCACTGGCTTGCTCCCGTGGCTTGTTTAGTCTCCTTTCTTATGGAACCCACCAGCCCAGGGATTACTCTGCCCCACAGTAGACTGGGCCCTCCCCCCATCAATCACTAATTAAAATGTTATACAGGATTGCCTACAGCCTGATCTTACAGAGGCAATTTTTCAGTTGGATTCTCGTCTTTCAGAGGACTCTAACCTGGGTTGAGATGACATAAAATAGCCAGAGCCTGTTCTTTTTTAGAGATGGGCTTGGTGCTTTGTGTCTACAAGATCCTGAGTTTACTCCCGGACACAGAAGAATTTGACCCAGGCGTGGTGGTTCATGCAGAGGCAGGAGAATCACGAGTTCAGGACCACCATGGGCCAAAGAAGTTAAGACTGTCTAAAACAGGGAAAGGGAAAGAAATTTTGCAGAGGAAAAGGTTTTATAAGTTATTTGGTTATCATAGGGGAGCAAAGTTTGGTGTCACTTAAAATTCAAGGAATTGGAGACTGGCTGCCAGAATGACTTACTAAATAGGCAAAGGTGATTGCTGCCAAACCTGAAGACTGAGTTTGATTCTAAGAGCTCATGTGGTAGGAGAGAACCGACTCCAAGTTGTTGTCTTACCCTCTTGCTCCTCCTCACATACAATGTCTTAGAAGTGCTGTGTGTGTGGTGCTTATCCCAGTATGTAAGAGGCAGAGGCAGGCGGATATCTATGAATTTAAGCCAGCTAGGGCTTCCTAGTAAGGTCCTGTCTAGAGTGGAAACAGTGGCATTAAGGATGTAGCCCCATTGGCAGAGTGCCTAACAGGCTGCACACAAAGCTACAGCCTGGTGCGGCCTGGTGGCGTGTCCTATAATCCATGTCCCAGGGGGTCAGTAGTTCCAAGGGTAGCCTTTGTGATATCAGACAATGCTTCTTACCAATGACTATTTTTGTGTAAAAGGAAAGTTAAATGATTCATGGGCTTGTTACTGCTTTTAGTTTTACTTGGATTTTTCTCTTTTGTGCTAATTTTATGTCCCCTTAGTGGTTGTAAGTTCAAAAAACTTAACACAGGGTGATGTTTTTGTTGATCTGTAGCTTAATTGGCTTAGTGTGGACTTCAACAATTGGAAAGACTGGGAGGATGATTCAGATGAAGACATGTCCAATTTTGACCGTTTCTCTGAGGTGAGTTCTCTTAGTGATGTCCTCTACCCTGTTCCCATAATACTGTTCTGTACAGTCATTTTAATGTTTTTCCTTTTAATGTGTATGGATGTTCTTTGCCTGCGTATGTGTCTGTGCACCATCTGGGAACCTGGTGCCCATGGAGGTCCAAAGACGGTGTCAAGAGTCCCAGGAAATGGAGTTACAGAGGGTTATGAACCACTGTGTGATTGATTACTAGAAGTCAGACCCTGGTCTCTTCTGCAAGAGGAACAAGTGCTCTCCACCAGCCCCTCAAAGTCGCCTTTTAAAATTATTTTCAAAGCTTCATGTTATGGGGACCTATGAGATGACTCCATGTATACAATCATGTGTTAATGAATGTAACTTCAAAAACTGATATACAGAAATTAAAAACTGAATGATGTGGTGCTGGAGAGATGGCTCATTGGTTAAGAGCACTGGCTGCTCTTCCAAAGGACCTGGGTTCAGTTCCCAGCACCCACATACATGGTAGTCACAGCTGCTTATAACTCCATTCCTAGGGGATCCTGGTGGTCCTCCTCTGGTCTCTTCAGACACCAGGCTTACATATGCTGCACAAACATACATGCAGACAAAACACCCATACACACAAAATCTCAAAAATACAATCAAATTTCCTTTAAAAAAGTACAATCTCTCAGTCCAGTACAAGTAGTTGTGCAAGCCTAATATTGGCACCATTCAGGAGCATGAATTCAGCAGTTGTACTATACTTTGAACCATATAGTACAAATTCACCTTTTTGTTGTTTTCAAGACAGGGTTTCTCTGTGTAGCTTTGGAGCCTATCCTGAAACTTGCCCTACGTAGACCAGGCTGTCTTTGAACTCACAGAGATCTGTCTGCCTGCTTCTGCCTCCCAAGTGCTGGGATTAAAGGCGTGTGCCACCACCGCCTGGCCAAGTAATTTATTTTTATGTGCATTGGTGTGTTGCCTACAGGTAGTCTGTGTGAGGGTGTCAGATCTTGGAGTTACAGACAGTTGCTAGCTGCCGTAGTGCTGGGAATTGAACACAGAAAGAAGAGCAGCCAGTATTCTTAACCGCTGAGCCATCTCTCTACAAGTACACCTTTAAACACCAGCATCAGGTTCCAGAGAGATGGTTTAGCGGTTAAGAGTTCCTCTTGCTCATGCAGAAGACCTGGGTTTGGTTCCCAGCAACCTTAATAGTAGCACAACCGCCCATAACTCCGATTATGTGTATGAATGTTAGCTTGCATATGTATCTGCCTAAGGAGATCAGAAAATTTACTGGTGGTTATGAAACACCATGTGGGTATTTTTTGTTGTTGTTGTTGTTGTTTGTTGACAAGGTTTCTCTGTGTAGCTTTGGTGCCTGTCCTGGCTGCTCACTCTGTAGACCAGGCTGGTTTCAAACTCACAGAGATCGCCTGCCTCTGCCTACCAAGCACTGGGATTAAAGGTGTGCACCACCACTGCCTGGCTCAGAAAAGGACTTTTATGCTGTTTTGTAAAATGTTACAAATACGTTACTATGACCAAAGTGGGAAATATTTGTTAGTTATATGTAAACTAAGTAAAGAAGGAATGTGGTTCAGTTGGTGAATGCTTACTCAGCTTGCATGAAGCCCCGATTCATTCTCGATCCTCAGAATTTTGTGAAGCCAGGAGTGATAGCAGACATGGTAAGTGGATACAGGGTCAGGAAGTTCAAGGTCATCCTCAGCTCATAGTAAGGTCAAGGCCAGTCTAGTCTACACCAGATTATCTGAAAATTAAAAATTAGGGGCTAAATTTCCAACTTCATGTGCTTAACTGCTTACTTAAGCATCTCATGGGAAGAAGATATCAACATCTCTTCCTCTTGAGTTCTGGAATTAAAGGTGTGCCCACCACTGCCCAGCTTTGACCCTGTCTGGTCCAGAATGTACTGTGTAGCTCAGGCAGGCTGTATGTGAATGCTTATTTTGCATGTGTGTTCACATGTATGCCTGGTGCCTGAAGAGGTCAGAAAAGGGCATGAACCCCCTTAAACTGGAGTTTGCTGTTGATCAATAGTTGTGGGCTACCATATGTGTTCTGAGACTGAAACTCAGGCCCTCTTTGAGATCAACAAGTACTCTTAACCACTGAGCCATCTATCCAGACCAAGATAGTTTTTAACTACCAAAGGGATGTTGGTGTTTTTGTTGTTGTTGTTGTTGTGCTGGTGTTACTTGTTTTGTTTTTCCTCTACCTCCAGAGGTGACTATACCCTGCTATAAAGAAGGGTTTTTTTTTCTTCCCTGTGCTAGCTCCTTTCCTTCCTTTCTCTGTGGATACCATATAGATGTCCAGAGGCCCCTGGGATTGTGAATCGTTGGGTATTGGTTCTGGGTCCTCTGTAAGAGCAGTAAATGTTCTTAACCACTGAGCCATGTTTCTGTCATATGTAGGTATCTTGCTGGGTGGAATTTAGCAACTTTTTTTTTTTTTTTTTTTTTTTTTTGAGACCTCGGGATGTCAGGCTTGCTTGCCTTTTATCTCAATTTGTAGTTGAGAATGACCTTGAACTTCTAAAGTCATCTGCCACCACGTCCTACTTGGCCTGTCTCGTGTTTTCAGGGAAGAAGTGGTTTCTTTTGCATTCATTGGTGGGAACCTGTGATGGACTGAAGGGTTATATCTGGAATGTGCAGCCTATTAGGCTTTTGAACATTTTAAAAACTAATTTTTATGCTTCATATAGATGATGGATCATATGGGTGGTGATGAGGATGTAGATTTACCCGAAGTAGATGGAGCAGATGATGTAAGTATACAAACCCTCTTTTCCTAATAGTAAAAGGCAGTTTATTTACAGATGGTCTTGCATGTTCAATGGCTCCCCCTGCAAGTGTGCACTCACATCCATATCCCAGCACTGGGGAAGCAGGTGGATCTTATGAGTTCCGGGACAGCCAGGGCTGTTACACAGAGAAACCCTGTCTTGAAAAAACAAAAAAGAAAATAAAGAAAATGAGTGTCTTACCAAGGATATAAATAGGATTTAAAACCAAGTCAGAGACTATAGTAATAAAAGGATGTGACTGCATTAAGAGGAGCACATATTGGACTGTTAGACATACTTTCCTCAATATTCTGTTAACATCTTAACACAAAGTTATTTATGTAGTTGGGAGAATTCTCAACTTCAGTATGTAGAATTAGAATTCATTGTTGTCTTTGTATTGAGTCTTTTTTTCCTTTAATTGAATGGCAAGATACGGTAACAAGCGGGGGAGAACTGAAGCTGAGCTCAATTCCAACCAAGAAGTACACGATACAAGAGCCGGGTGGTGGTGGCACACGCCTTTAAATCCCAGCACTTGGGAGGCAGAGACAGGCGGATCTCTGTGAGTTCGAGGCCAGCCTGGGCTACCAAGTGAGTCCCAGGACAGGCTCCAAAGCTACACAGAGAAACCCTGTCTCGAAAAATACAATCTTAGGGTTTAAAAAGAATGTGTTGTCAACTTGGTAACGTTTTTAAATTTCTTCTGCAGGATTCACAAGACAGTGATGATGAAAGTAAGTGAATGGGTTTTGGGGGTGGGTTGTTACTGTTTCCAGTGTAGTGGTTGTCTTACACTGAGACCACATTTCAGAATAGACACCAGTGTTCTTTTTAAGCTCAAGGACAATTTAGTTGAAGAGAATGGTAGAGCACAGGTTAGGATCCCAGCAACCACCAGGAAAAGACCATACCTATTGTTTTCACACAAGGTTTCTCTGTGTAGCCCTGGCTGTCCTGGAACTAGTTCAGGCTGGCCTCAAACTCAGATCCGCCTGCCTTTGGCTCTCAAGTGCTGGGATTAAAGGTGGACACCGCCACCTCCCAGCACCTTTCTGTTTGTGTTTGTCTGCATGTGTGTCTGTGCACGGTGCATAGCTGGTGGCTGGGGGACAACAGAGGCTGTCGGAGCCAATGTGAGCCACCGTGTAGGTGCTGGGGATTGAGCCTGGGTTCTCTAGAAGAGTAGCAGTCTCTCCAGCCTCAAGAGCATACTTTTCAAATTGGGCATGGAATAGAATTAGCTTATTAAGAAAGGAGAAGGCACTGGGCATGGTGGTGAATACCTTTAATCTCAGTACTGGGGAGGCAGACAGGTGGATGGATCTCTGAGTTCCAGGACAGCCAGGAGTACACAGAGAAACCCTGTCTCAAAAAAACAATAAAAGGGAGTGGGAGAGGGGAGCATTCCCAAGAATGAACTAAGGGCTAATGAACTAAGGAAGGAACCTTTAGAAAGCCTTGTTGTGGTTCTTAGAAATCATTTACTCTTTGATATTCGCTCTGTTCATAAGTGCATACACGAAAGTGCTTACCGGGGAGCTTTCAGTTCTGCCAGCTACTTCTCTACTGAGACGTTAGAGTGTTAGATTCTCAGATTCTCTTGTAGACCTTGCTGACTGTTTTAAACTCCTTTCAGAAATGCCAGATCTGGAGTAAGGAATGTTGTCATCGCCTGGATTTTGAGAAAGAGAAATAACTTCTGCAAGATTTCGTAATTGAGAAAATTCCTGAGTTGATAGCTCTAAAGGCAGATGCTGTATTTGCCTCCTTTAACCCATTTTTCAACCTTTTTTTTTTCTTTTTTCTTTTTTTTTTTTTTTTTTAAGGCTTCACTAAGGGTTGATAATGTACCATTGTATGGGGCAATTTAAGTCAGCTAAGGCAATATCCTTATGCATGAACATTTCCCAGGATTCCATGAAGCAGTTGAGATCCTAGGCAACTGACACAGCAGCTCTGATGAATAAACACATTTTACCTAAGTCTTCTTTCTATAACAGTTACTTACATGTTAGGAAGCTCTCAGCTTAGGGAAGAGAACTAGTTTTAGATCCTAGACCATGGACTTGAAGGGGCTGAAACAAATTGGCTGATATCTTAACCTGATACCCTGTCATTCTTCCAGTGTACCTTTCAGAATTATTCCACTAAAGTTTATTTTTTAAAAAATGTACTTTACATTATTGTATGTGATCATTTGTCAGTGTTGAGGTGTATTTTAGCTAAAACTAGTGAATGCCCTAACTTAGATGGTTCTTGAAGCCTATACATTTGGTATTGTTTGGCCCTTAAGCTTTTACATCTCTTAGCATGGAGGACGAAGAAAGCTGTACATTGTTGCTTGAGAGTCTGTACATTTTAGACCAGATTTGTATTTGCACTGTCAGTATGGCAAATGAGTGGAAAAATGTTAATACACTATTGGATTTTTTTATTTCCTGTTTTGATTTCAGCTTATGCCCTGGCTGGAAAACCTCAATTTATGTTCATGACAGTGGGGATTTTTTTAAATGTCTACATTCTTTCTAATAAACTGTTGGAAGATTTCTTGGCTCTCCTCCTAAGTGTCTGGTTTGCTGTAATTTCATGTATTTACCACTTACTGGAATGGAGTTTTTATTTTTTGAGGGAAAACTTGGGACTGCTCCTGTTTGGAAAGAGGCTTGCTGTATTGTCACAGGGAACCCTTTAAAGTGGATCTGTAATGGAGAACTGTAGATGCACTGTGCAGCAGCTGGAACAGTGTTGTGACTTGATTGAAATAAAACTCAATGTGTTGTCCTCCTGTACATCCTTCAGCTCCTGCGTTTGAGCAGCGTTCCTCCCCAGCTTCTGGAGTCTGTCCAGCAGGAGAATGCTCTGTGTCTCAGTATTCTGTTGCTGGTTGTTTCAGCCAATGTTGAATGAATGCTAACGTACAAAGATTGATTCCTTGACGATTTCTGTGTGTACGCAGCTCAGAAGTTGACCAGTCAGAGAACAACAGATAAAGATTTGGAGAGCTGGCTCAGGTGGTTACAAAGTGAAACTTCATTTTGGGGTGTGTCACAGCACATTACTATTGGCTTTTTAAAGACCTTTTCTGTGTATGTGTGTGCCTGAGGTTATATGTATGCTCCATGTAAAGACTGGCTTGATGCACACCTGACGCCCGCCCTATGGGAGGCAGACAGGTGTCATCTCTGAGTTCAAGGCCAGCCTACTTTTTTTGTTTGTTTGGTTTTTCCTTCCAAGACAGGGTTTCTCTGTAGTTTTGGTGCCTGTCCTGGATCTTGCTCTGTTAGACCAGCCTGGTCTAACAGAGGAAGCTTTAGGATAGCCAGGAAACCCTGTCTTGAAAAACAAGCAAAAAATGTGTTCTTTGTGTGTGCAGGTCCCCTCAGATTCGAGAAGACTGTTAAACTCCCTTGAACTAGAGTTTACACAAAGTTACATGTGGGTCCTGGAAATTGAACCCAGGTCCTCTGAGAGCAGTAGGCTCTTTTGACTGTTAGACATCTTTCTAACACCTAAATTGGGAGGGGGGGGGTTGTTACTGAGGGAGGCGAGAAGTTCCAGTCCCTGGGAACTTGAGTTACTGGTGATTGTGCACCTTAACTTACATGGGTTCTGGTATTTGAACTCCAGTCCTCATTTACTAGCAAGCACACTTAACTGACAAGTTAGGGCCACTGAGTGGAAAAGACACATACCACCACCTCTAGCTCTAAAATTTTAACATTTTATCTGAAAATTTGGACACAAACTTTCAAATACTCATAAGATAGGCAAGAATACCTCTTGAGTTTCAGGCCAGCCTAGTCCACATAGACCCTAGTTCAAAAAAAAAAAAAAAAAAAAGGAAAGGAAATTTACAGCAGAAACAGCCCCAGTCTAGTAGCTCACACCTGTGGTCCCAGCACCTGGGAGTACAGGCAGGGGAGTCCGCTCCTACTTGGCTACTATGTACGGTTAAAACCAACCTAGGCTAAAGGAGACTCGGTCTACATCATGCAAGCCTGGCTCCAGGGCAGTGCTATCTTGTTAAAGCATGGGGGCTGAGTGCATTCAGTCCCAGCACTCAAGGCCAGCCAGTCTAGAGAGCTAGTTCCAGGACAGCCGGGGCTACAAAGAAACCCTGTCTTGAAGACAAAGCAGTAGAGGGAACAGCCACAGATAGAGACTTGGGGAAATTGTTGATACACTTTGCCCTTGTTCTGGTCAGAATTCCTGCTAGTCTGGTAGACCTTACTTTGTTGCAATCTGGCATATGAAACAGATAAGTAATGTGGCTAAAACTCCAAGGACTGGTCTCACAGCTTATAAACATTTCAAACAATCCAAAATGAATATTCTGTGTTCTGCCAGGCATGGTGGTGTATTCACAGACAGGAGGCAGAGGCAAGCAGATCAGGAGTTTGAGGCCAGCCTGGTCGGTCTACATGGCCAGTTCTGGGACAGCCTGGGCTACACAGACCCTGTCTCAAAGATGGGGGGCAGGGTGTGAGTAAACAGGGTGTATGTAAAACACTGTTTAGTGCTGGACATGGGAGTCTAGGTACTCCTACACAACAGGAGAATGATCTACCACTGAGCTACACTTGTTAAACATTTGGCTGCAGCCAGGTGTAGTGGTGTGCACCTTCAATCCCAGCACATGGGAGGCAGAGGCAGGTGGATCTCAGTGAGTTCGAGGCCAGCCTGGTCTACAAAGCAAGTTCCAGGACAACCAGCAATGTTACACAAGAGAAACACTTTGAAAAAACAAACATTTTGACTTGTTATTTCTGAGCAAGGAAGTAGGATTTAGGCAACTATAATTTATAAGATACTTTGAGTGATCTGCATGTATATGTGTCAGGTCTCCAGAACTGGAGTTTGCAAATTGTTGAGCTACCATGTGGGTGCTGGGAACTGAACCCTGATCCTTTGAAAGCACTGAACTATCTCCAGCTGGAAGGAACTCCTGTACATGACTACGTGATTCTCAACCTATGGGTCTTCATATCAATATCCTACATATCAGATATTTAGTTATGAAGTAGCTACTCTAATTTTGCTACTGTTATAAATCATAAATATCTGATCCGCAGGTGGTTTTAGGAGATCCAAAAGATTCATGCCCCACAGGTTGAGAACCACTGACAGTATGTTCCTGAACTACTGGAATAATAGCAAAAAGGAACACATCAAAGTCAGTTTGAAGAGGATATTGCATGAGTTCGAGGGAGGGGTTTGGTTTTGGAATTTGGGTTTTTTTTTTTTTCTGGTTTTATGTGTACATGTATGTTTTGTGTGTACCCTGTGTGTCTCATGCCCTTGGAGACCAGAAGAGGGCATCAAGTCCCCTGGGACTAGAGTTAGAGTTGTGAGCCTCCATGTGAGTCTTGGGAATTGAACCTTGCTGCTCTGGAAGTGCAGCCAGTGCTCTAGACTGCTAAGCCATCTCTCCAGGCCCATGTTTCTGTTATTTGATTGGTTCCTGCTAGGTATCTTAAGCTGGTCTTGATGTTTAGCAACCCTGCTTTCACTCAGTGCTGGGATCACAGGTATTGCACCCACATGCTCTGCTCCTCATGGTGTTGGGGTGGGTGGATTCTGTGGTCTCCCATGTACTCGGTAAGTACCCTATTCCTGAGTTACAACCTCCTGCTCTGTTTTACAATCCTAGGAGAAAACTGGGTTCAATGTGATAATGTTGAGAATGGCAGTGGAAACAGGCTGAATAAACTAAATGAAAAAGCTAGGTGTAGTTTAAGGGGATAAGGATCTCTGAAGCTAGACTACTGGATGGATTATTATAGTTCCCAGCCTTAGTTAACAGTAGCCCAACACTAAGTCATAACTCTGTCGTTGGCCTCAGCTCAGCTCATCTTGTAGGCAGGGTATTTATCTTACATGATAAGGATGATGCCAGGACAGCCAGGACTGTTATGGTATGGTGGTGGATTTTGAGAAAGACCATTTATATAATAAATTTATGGTGGACTGGGCATGTGGCACTGAGGAATTCATGGATTTGATCATCAACCCTGAAAAAAGTAATTGTTCTCTTAGTACCTAATATGTAAGTTAAGCTTTACCATAAGCAATTACATACAAGGAAAACATACATTTGGGTTGGGGCTGGTGTCCAAGGTTGCAGATATCTACTAGGATCCTGGAATGTGTTTCTTCTGGATAATGAAAACTATGTTTCAATTTCAAGAATTACAAGAGTTCTGGAAGAATTTGGGAGCATAACCAGTGTGGATATCAATATTGTAAGATGAGTTGGTGAGAAATAATTTCGTCATAAAATTGGTGAGGCTTCCAGTTAGCAACTTTGGGGCACAGTCACTTGTAAATACAGGTGTGCCAAGGGGACCTGGCTGTAGCATGAATCTTAGAGAGTCTTATTAATAAAATCAAACCCGGGGCCAGTTGTTGTGGTGAAATGCTGGATGGTCAGAGAGACAGAACAAGCCACAGCTGTCTCACCTGCCAATTCCTCAGCTGGTCCTGTTTCCTCAGACTGGAAGCCTCTGAGTCCTCATCCAGAATGAATCTCAGCTGAACTGTGTTGCTCCAAAGCCTGAAAGCTTAACCAGCCAAAAATGCTTCTAGTTTCTGGTCCTCACGCCTTATAAACCTTTCTGCTTTCTACCACCACTCCCTAGGATTAAAGGCGTGAGTCACCATGCCTGGCCGTTTCCAATGTGGCCTTGAACTCAGAGATCCAGAGGGATTTCTGTCTCTGGGATGCTAGGATTAAAGGCGCGTGCTAACATTTTCTAGCCTAAATATCTTGTGGCTTTTCTGTTCTCTGACCCCAGGTAAGTTTATTAAGGTACACAATATTTTGGGGAACACAATACCACCACACCTGGCTGAAAACTCACTTCATGTGAAGTCTCACTGGCATAAGCTGGGTGTCAAATATAGCCAGGCAGGGTTAGTACACGCCTTTAATCCCAGCACTCAGGAGGCCAAGGCAGGAGTATCTCTGAGTTTGAAGCCAACCTGGTCTACAGAGTGAATTCCAGGAAAGCCAAAAAAAAGTCTTTATTTCCTGTGTTTGTATGTTCACCACATCGATGCCAGGTTCCAGAGGAGGCAAAAAGAGGCTGCCAGATCCCTTGGTACTGAAGTTATAGTTGTGAACGTTCATGTGGGTACTGGAAACCTCTGCAAGAGCAGCCAGTGCTCTTAACCACTGACGTCTAGCCCTTAAAATAAAAGTTAATTTGAGATGACTCTGCAGTTAAGAGAACTTGGGGGCTCTTCCAGAGGATTGGGGTTCAGTTCCTCTCACTGTATAACTAACTCCAATCCCAGGGGATATGACACCCTTCTGACCTCAGAGAGGACAGTCAACATGCAAGCAAAACACCCATACACGTTTTTTTTAAAGAACAAATAATAGCTAAGATGTATGGGCTATACACCAGATACTGTTTATTTTTTTCGGGACAGGGTTTCTCTGTGTAGCTCGGGCTGTCCTGGAACTCACTCTGTAGACCAGGCTGACCACAAACTCAGAGATTCACCTGCCTCTGCCTCCTAAATGCTGGGATTAAAAGTGTGCGCCACCACTGCCTGGCCAGATGTTTTGAATTGTTTTTCATATGTTATTCTGTTTAATGCTCTGAACAGCTGGTGAGATCATCCCATTATTGGACCTTTTATACATAAATAAGCTGATAATTATAGAGAAATTCCTTATCTGGTGATGTCTGGGAAGTGACAAAAATCAAGATTTTACCCCAGGCTGGCTCCTGCTTTTCTTAAGTATTCTGGCTGAACTAGAAACTTTAGCCCTAGAGGAGGA